AGAATTAAAAAATCCCAAAAATGAATCTAACAATCTAAATTTCATGTTTGAACTGCCTGCCCAGGTGTAACGTGTAAAGATCTTATGGTTCTTATGGTCCTTATGGGGCAACCTTCTTGTATCGTTATTGCAGCAGAACTACATTTAGTAATGTTAGTAAATCTTTTCTCCAAAAATTTAAAAGCTTAGTTCCATTTATTTATCTCCGAGAAGTACAGACCAAACGTTACTGCTGTGAACCACTTAGTTACGACTCGAGAACGCAATTTGAAGAATTTCATCTGCTTACGTTCTAAAATTCGAACACTTCATTGTTTCATTTTTGGTGAACTTTGATTCATCAATCGTCAGGATTTATGGTGGAATTTTTTCTTCTTCCAAAACGGACATTTCAGCAATGAATATAAGATGCCCGTCATAATCAGTTTTCTGAAAACCCAAAACTTTTCCTGCATTTCGATAGAGGAATTTGGATTTTTGCGGCCATCCAATAAAATCTCCAGCTCCTAGTCAAAATTACGCTACCAGTTTCATGATGAACTGTCAAAACTCCTCTTATTGCGCTGATAATAATTTCAATTTCAAGTTCAATTTATAATAATAGAACTATTACAAAAGCAATTTAACGTTTTTACTACAATCGGGAAGCAAATTATTGGAATTGAGTGGTCCTTACAGGGTAAGAATTTTTTTTTTTCAAACTTTGTTGTTGTTTTACGATTTTCAAATTGAATTGTATAATTGATTTGAGCGTACAAAATTCTAATGATGTGTAGTTTTCTAATTGAGATGTTAAAATTCTACTGGTCATGAGGACCATCTATAATTTTTTTCCAAAACAGTAGTTATGTTCAACTGGTCCGAAAAATATTAAATAGGTATTATTTCTTAGCGTTTTCTATTGAAACTATGTAAAGTCTAATAAGGAACCCTGTATAAACATTTTTTAATTAATACAAAAGATTGGTCCAAAAGAATCAATATTTAACCATGTTACTTTATTGAGTTGTTCGTTATCCGTGTGCTATGTTATTTGTTGCGTTACGAAAAAACAAAAAGAACACCAATCGCCCTATTTCATTTATCAAAACGTAAGTGATGATGATTCAGCTGTTTTATCGTTTAAAACACCAGACCTTGCGTCTTCACGGTCATTTCTTTTGCTGCCTATTTGATGGCGTCGGAGGGCAAAAAATCTTTAACATAAACACTCTTTAAGTCTTGAAGAAAAACTATATATATATATATATTTATGTATATATTCTTTTTCATCTCAACCTTACATAAAAAGATTAATTAATCGAAAGAAGTAATTTGGTCATTGAGACCACTAAATATAAATATGTGTATATATAATCTTGACCTAAGTACATATTAATGTTTAAACACACACTTTCTTAATGATAAACGAACTGTAAATGTGTAACCAAAATGGAGAATTGTTTGTATTTACTATTAGTGTGTTTAGCCTTCTATTTGCTCTAATATTTATCACTTAATAAGCCAGACGTGGCACCTTTAAGATAATTAATTCTTTATGTAAGGTATTGATAGAGATAAAAAAGTCAGTGTCACGAGCGGGATTCGAACCCGCGATCTTCAGCTAAATACGCCGCTGCTCTACCACTTGAGCTATCGTGACTTTGATCCAATCGGACAAAATGGAAATCACGATTAATTAATTGAAATATGTTATTTAGTCAATCGGACCATGAAATCTAATGAATATAATTAATTCTGTTCAAAAACATAAACCAGATTGGTACTTGACATCCAGCGAGTTTAATAAATTCTCAGTGCTTTAATAAATTTCACAAATGAAACATGTCTTTCGCTCGTTCAGTGGACCAGATCTATTTCGAAATAATAACAGTCATTTGTATTTCTCTCACAAAAGCAAGAAGTGTGTTAAAAGAAAGTTTGAATTTTTCGGGGTTCTTAACGTCCAAAGAACAAGGGTTGTGCTTGTCGTTTTGCATTTGTTTTACCATATGGTGTGTTCGTGAGTACAGAAATTTTCTAAAGCTGTAATTTCAATATTATTAAAGTATTGTCTGAGTAGGATCAGAATATTTTAGAATTTTTTTATTATGCCAATAAAATGGTTTTCATCATTTTAATAACAACACCATCGTTGTTTAACCTATAGTGACATCTCCTTTGTTTTCTTGGATACCTAAGAGAAACTCAAGGTACTCAAGGGATACAAGGGGAGGTAGTGCTATTTGTATTAATTAATTTGATGCGTCAAACAATTTTTTAATATATAATTTATCGAAAAACTAGTTTTGAAATATATGTAAAAATATTACCAGTAGACAATGATTTATCGGGCTAGTTTAAATTTTCTTTAGGGACTTTTTGTAAATATAACTATTTATTAAATGAAATCATTTCCTAACATGATTTTGGGGCCAAAATACGCTGTTTGATTTATCCTTTATAACTTATTTGCTGAAGCAGATACCTTTAGTATTGCAATTTCAGCTAGCTAGAATAGGCGGATCAGGTTGACTATTGCAGACCTCCAAGAGTACAGTGGTAGTAATCTGACATATACGATTCTTAGGTAAAGACTTTTTTTGTCATATTACATTCTTCAGAAAGTAATTGATTTTGTGTATTGTTGATACATATTTATAAGAAAGTGGGGCCGGTAATGCAATAAGACGCAAAGCCAAAAATCCATCAGAGAAACTGACCGCATCATCAATTTGAAGAATAACCAGAATAGATTTACAGTTTCTTCAGAATGTTTTGTCAAGAAACATCTATCTTTATAGCTGGTTTTTGGTAGATACGTATAATAAAAATTAAAAGATATAAAATCGATTTAGTACTAAGCAATGTTTAAAAAAATTAAACGTATATGTCATAGTTTAAAAGGTGCATAGGAAAGACTGTTTCGGCAGAATTTTGTCTCTGACCAAATTTAGGTCGTCTGTGTGAAATTTATACAGCGATTTCACATGAAATATCAAAGAAGAAAAAGAAATATTTGTTTCTTCTAAATTCCTATGCATAATAATGTTTCTCTAGAAAGATTTCTGTTTAGATAGGTTTTTAGTGAATATAATACAGCAAATTAACAGGAAAGAGGAGGTTTTGCAAAATATTGTTTTCAAGCAGAATATACGTTTAGATATTTTTCTACAGAATAATTTATGGTGAGTTTGGTTTTTTGGTTTATTTAATCCATTGACTTCACATGAAGCAGCTCGTGTAGTACATACACTAAGCAGGGAAGAATTGTTCATTCTGCAGAATATTTTTTCAAGAAGAATTTAGGTTTAGATCTGTTTTTGGGACTCTAATCTCACACGAAGTTATCCAAAATGAACAGGAAAGTTTTATTATTCCTCAATAATATTTTTTCTCCAGAATATTTTTTTTCCAATTAATACAGTGACCTCACTTGAAGATATCCAAGATAAACAGGGAAGAATTATTGATTTTGCAGAATATGTTTTTCAAGATGAATTTACATTTAGATCTGTTTTTTGAGATTCTAATATGTACAGTAATCTTACACGAAGTTATCCAAAATGAACAAGAAAGTTTTATTATTCCTCAATAATATTTTTTTCCAATTAATACAGTGACCTCTCTTGAAAATACCAAATATAAATAGGAAAGATTTATTGTTCCTCCATGGTACTTTTTCTACAGAAAAATTGACTTTTAGGTCAGTTTTTGGTTCTTTTATAACAGCACCGTGTCAAATCGTTGTCCAAAATGTTACATTTTTTATACAGAATAATTTTCGTTTAGATGTGTTCTGTTAATATACTGACTTTAGATGAAGTTTTAGAACATGAGCAGGAAATTTTTATTGATATGTAGAATATTTTTTCAAGAAGAATTCACGTTTAGGTCTGGTTTTTGGTGAATGCAATAAAATAAATTCACATGAGGTTATCCACAAAGAGCAGGAAAGATTTGTTGTTGTTCCATGTCCATTTTTCTACACAAGAATTTACTTTTAGGTCTGTTCTATAGTTCTTGTAGTACAGCGACTTTACAAGACGGTATCCAAAATGTACAGGAAGGATTCAATCTTTCTGCACATAATATTTCTGCAGAATAATTTTCCTTTAGATCAAGATTTGGTTTTGTTTAATACACTAGTTCTACATGAACTTACCTAACATAAACAGGAAATATTTATGTGGCTTTTTTTAAAGCATAATTTACGTTTTGGAGAACAAAGTACAGTAAATTCACATGAGGTTATAAAAAATGAGCAGGAAAGATTTATTGTTCTTGCATGTTCATTTTTCCACACAAGAATTTATTTTTAAGTCTGATTTTTGGTTCTTGTATTCCAGCAATTTCACGAGAAGATATCCCAAATGTACAGGAAAGATTCATTGTTTCTGCGCATAATTCTTTTATATAATAATTTTCCTTTAGATCTATTTTTGGTTTTATTTAATACATTGAGACCATATGGAATTATCAAATATGAACAGGAAATATTTATTTATTAGTTTTTTTGAAGCAGGATTTTTTTGGTCTGTGTTTTGGAGTATAAAATACAGTAAATTTACATGAAATTATCCTAAATGAGCAGGAAACATTTGGTGTTCTTGTATAATATTTTTCTCGAGAAGAATTTACCTCCAAATGGTCAAAGATTGACATGAATTTTTTTCTCTAGAAAAATTTACGTTTAGGTCTGTTTTATGGTAAATGTAATGCAGTGACTTAAAAAGTGAGAAATCTGGTAGCGGAAGTGATCTCTTCATCCGAAGAAAGGTAGAAATAAGGGCGTACTGGATGCTTAAACCACTGTGGGCATAAATTTAGTTGCGCAACCCGATCCGCTATGTTTATACTTTGGCGGAGGCGTCCAAGGCGCGGTTTTCCCCTCTGGTGAAGAAGTCCAGGGCGAGACTGGTGACCTTTGACCGTGCGGAATCCCGAGGGCCGAGTCCTTCAGAAAGAAAGTGAAACCGAATCAGGGCGGGAGAGGAACCCCCCTCGCTATATAAGCAAAGAGGTGTCCCACCTGTTCATCAGTTCTTCCCATTTGCTGGATCCGCCGAGATGAACGCTTTGGTGAGTTCTGAAACACAGCTACACCTTCAAGTCGGACAGGGAGACAAAAACAGAAAAATCTTCATGTATTCTCAGAGTTAAAACTTCAAAACACAGTAGAATTCTATTAAACAAACATTCACTCCACTACACATTTGTCTGATAAAATTTTACATCTCAGATATTTGTTTAAAACTTATATGCACATGAATTTAATCTATCATAAAGATTCTATGTTTACACGTTCTTAAGTGAATATTTTAAGCAAATTTTTGTTTAAAAAAATTGTCCTTCTAACACTAAGTTACCCTGAGTATAAGTTAAATATTAAGATAGAAAAAGACATCTTATTTTGGTTAAAAGATTTCATATTCAGACGATACATAATTTTATTTAAACATTAACTTTTCTTTATGAAATTTAAGTTCAAAGTAAAATTTAAGCTACCGAGCATACTTTTTGTGTGAAAACCTTCATATTCAAATCATTTATTATAATTTTTTAAAATATAAACATACTCTTAAGAAATTTAAGTTTAAAGCCAATTTTATGGTTCAAAACTCTGCGAATATACACAAAGCACGAAAAATGAATTGGACAAATGCAAACTTGACTGCAAATTTATTTATATATTTTATTTACTTCTAAGAATTTATTTTCATATAGACACATCAGAATAGACAACAATGCACACAATTTACCGAGTTTATTTAATTTTCCGTATTTTTTTATAAAATTTCATTTTCTAAGCATGCTTTTCTTAAATTTTTCTTTTTGCCAATTTCAAAATTTACAATATAACACTCTTTAAATAACAAACCTTCAAGTGATGTAGGTTAGAAATTTATATTGCCTATTCAAACAAACAAATTACAATGAAGACAAAATATTCTGCGAAGTATACATTTTAAAATGTGTGAGGCACCATCAAACAACAGATTTCTGCCATTTTTACAGATTTTTTTATATATAAAATGTAAAATTTTTGTAAAAGAAAAAGTGTTTTGACGGTATAAATTAAATTTTTAACAGATAGGATGGTGAAAAAATATACAAAGTAACATTAAAAAATAAATACATACTTCACTTATTATCTTTACGCTGTCAACTTAGACTAAAAAGAAAAAACTTTTCAGGAGGTAGAAAAATTACAAGTACAAATAAACAAAAATTTTGAAACATTTCAAACACTCGTGTATAAATATATAGGCATTAATAATAAACACATATATAAAGTTTTTACACAAGCGGAACAATTTAAATTTGGCCAAATCCCCTTTTAAATATATGAACTCTTTTATTTGCAATTTACAATTATTTGTGGTACGAAATTTAAGGTGTTGTTTAAAATTGATAACAAAATTGTAGAAATATTTTCGTAAGTAAAACCTGTCATATACGCGCTTAATCATAAAAATGTAATAAATTGTGACGGGATTCGAACCCAGAACCGTGTCAACCATACACCCTCCTCGATGTACGGAATCTTTTTAATTATAGCCACAATAAGATTGAATTTTGAACTAAGTTTACTTGTTCTCTAATTATAGAATAGTTCAAAACTTGGATAAAAACGTGTTAATTTTCAACAAAATTTTACAGGAGTAAAAATTAATTAAAAACGGACAAAATAAAAAGAAACTAAAGTTCAAAAAAACTAATCCAAATATTATTATATTGGAATATATTTTTAACAATTAAAACTTTCTATTTCTCTCAATTAATTTTTCTCTGGAAAGAAAATGTTTAAAAATTGCAAACTTTCTCCCATAAAAAAACACAAATAGTTTTATGTAATAAAAAAAAACGAGATTAGCCGGATATCCGAGACTCGTCAGGGTGGGCGGCTCTCCGCCGACTAAGAACTTCGAGAGCTCTTGGGCTGCGCGGGGGTCGTTTCTTTAAATCTTCCGATCCGGTTTTTTGAAAAAGGATTAATTTTTTTCTTTGTTAAAAGTAAGATTTATATCTTTAAATTAGGTTCATCATTATTGACCAATTATCATCTTATTCCATATGCAGCAGTTAATTCGTTGATTTTTTCATTATTGCATTAGCATTTTTCAGGTACAAATAAAAATTAATTTTTTGAAATATTGAAATTTAATAGTTCGATGGAAAACGATGATTCACTCAGGATTCTTTTTCGTTTCTTCTAATCAGTTTTTTTAAAGAATAGCAAAATAAACTTTTTTCAGTAATGGCGTAGGTTTCATGAAAAATATAAGAAATAGAGATATATCACGAGAGGCGGTAATTACCAGGGGGGTTGAAGGAAAGGTTTTATTTTTACAAAACCAGTTCGCCGACAGGCAGGTACTTTCTGAAGATCAAGGCAATCCCAACGCGATCACAGGGCGGCCGGACTACTTTCGCTTTCGGTGTTCAAAAAAATAAAAAAAAGAAGCCGGTATCTGGACTTTCACCGGACGGAAGGGTTTGCACGAAGCCCGGGGGAGAGAGAGGGCGAGAAAAAAATGCCCGTTTCCCTCAATTTGCCTTATAAAGTATCTGTATTCCATTAGAAAGCCATAACTAATTGCCAGGATAATCAGGACTGTCAGCAATTTGAGTTTAACCCGTTCAATTTGTTTTTGTCTTCACATAAAACCAAGTCTTTCACGCATGATCTGAACAATATAAAAATTTTCTTTACGCCGGTTTGAAGAAAAAATCATAAAAAAGATATGCTAGAGAATAATAGTCTACCTTTACTAAATTCTATTATCAGATATCTAAAAAACTTAGCAAACTTTTTGTAAATATATGTAGTGCGGCATGCCAAAACGTTTTTATGTAGTACATAATTCCTTACATAATCAATAATTTTACTAATATTTATAATAATAGTCAAAAATTTAGTGAAGGAAAAATTCAAAACCAAGTTGTGAGTTACAAGATTTCTGACTAATACGAATCATTCATACTGCTACTATATACATTAATTATTTAAATAGAAGTATAATATATTAGTGTATTTAAATAATTCACTATCTGAGAGAAATTTGGAATGATTTTCAAGTAAAATTCTGTAATACATTCCATCTCTTACTTAAAGTGCTAATGATAATGAATCTTTCATTTTTTATTTGTTCCTTTAATCTTTATTTATTATTAATATTTCCTACTTTTATTGAGTACGATGTTCTTTAACAATTCGTCCACTTTATACTTCATCCATAGAACTTTAAAAAAAAAAAATTTTCTATTTTTTAGAATCATGTTCGAAATAATAATAATAATAATACTGAATAAAAACGTTTAGGGCTAGGGTGTAAAACCAAGCAAGAAACATAGAAACATGAGAGAAAAAATCAAGTTGAAAGTTGTGCAAACTTCTTAATGAACCGCTTTCGCTACTTGAACTTTAATCGTACACTTTACTTGACTTAAAGGTCAGCTGATCCTTGCCACCAATAAAACGCGATACCATTGTAAATTAAGCAGTTAAGATTAATTCGTTTATTTTCATCAGTACATGAACTAGTCTTAACATTATCTCTTTTAAAATTATATAACTATTATGTTTTTATGGATCATTGTTTTATTAATGGTGATTTTGAAACGCAGGTGATTTTGGTTGCCGCTGGATTTGTGGCTTTGGCCCACGCGCAGGCAGCAGAGAGGCAGACGAGGCTTGAGGACATCGAAAGGGACAATTTGAAATCGACCCAACAGCAGTACCAACAGCAGCCTCAGCCTACGCAGTACCAAACCGCTCCGGCCCAGTACCAAACGCCCACGCAATACTTAGCTCAACAGCAACTTTTTGCTCACCCTCAGTACACACCGTCTCAGCTTTCCGCTTACCACCAGCAATTGCTTTTCGCCCAGCAGCAACAGCAGCCCGTGTACGTCCCTCAGCACCAGCCCCTTCCCTTCCCTATCATGTTGATCCCCTCGCCTTACCTCTTCTCCCAGGACGTCAACTCCCTCTACCTCCAGGGTGTACAGCAAGCCAAGTACAGGCCGGCCCAAGTCCAACAAGTCCAGCAGGTCAAGCCCTTCCGCCCTAGCCCGCAGATCCAGTACAACGGCTACACCCCTCAGTACAACGCTTACCAGACGGTGTACCAGCAGAAATACCCGACTGGGGCCAAATCGACCGTTGCACCCCCTCTGAAGGACAACTATGTTCAACCTAACAACTTCAACTATAAACTCCAGTAAATCAATCACAACCAGGCGTCCACTAGTCTTTTGTAAATAAGTTTCATTGGTCTCTCCTTCCCTTCGTTAAGTTTTTTATAAGTAAATTCAATAAATGACTGAAATTTATTCAACTTTATTTTTATTAATACCCTTAGTTCTTAAACCAATAAGAGAGAAAATATAAGTATTTTATACTTAAAACGTGCGAAATAAATCGGCATACGTAATAATTTCTACTGTACATACTAAAATATGATAAATGAAAAAAAAAAAAATCAATTTCCTTACACAATTTTAGAACTTGAAACGTTATATCAGAGTGAGGAAGAAATCTGTTTTGAACAGAAAAAACTTTTCATCCAACAATAAATGTAAAAGTATAATACATATAACAATTGATCAGTCATTTAAGTATATCGTCAACAATTCAATATTTCACATTTGCATAATTTTACAAAGACAGACTGAACCATTTGGTTTAACAAAGATCAACAGTATTTTTCAAAATTAACTCTAATATTAAAACATTATTATGGTTTTTGTACTAACTAGGAAAATGTTTTATCAAATAAACTTTTAAGTAAGAATATAGATGTTGTAACATATGAAAAAAAACGCATAGGACGCAAAGTTGTGAAAGTTGGTAAGTTAAGTCGAAAATTGTGAATATCGCGTTAAGCTCTTTGAAAAATAAGAAAAACACCTCAGGAAAATATGCCAATGTTGGGAGAATCGGAACCCATATTCGTGGGATATTTTATACACCATTCTATTTTTGAAAACAATTAAACCATGCGATTGTCCGAGTTTACCTTTCACTTTAACCACAAAATTAGTTCGGTGTATGGGAGAAAGGCGAGAGAGAGAGTGAGAGAGAGAGAGAGAGAGAGAGAGAGAGGAAAGAGAGAGAGAGAGAGAGAGAGAGAGAGACAGCTACATAGAAAAAAGAATGTCTGAAAAAATAAGTGATAAAAGTAAGAAAGTCGAAAGAACTAAGTAAATAATGAATGAAGAAGAAGGAAATATAGGTAGATATATAGAAATAAAATTAATGAAGGCAAAAGAGGAGGATAAAAAGTGAACAATAGATTCACATATAAAGACGTATAGAGAAAAGAGATAGTGAGAGAGAGATGATAGATATAGAAAGATAACAAATAAGCCAAAATAGAATTACTTTGTTACACATTATATTATTTTTAGTAGGACTTAGGTAAATAGCAATAGTGGGGATATATATGTAGATAGGTGTATATATAGAGAGAAATGGATGAGGGAGTGATGAAAGAAGGAAATGAAACGATAGAGGTAGAAAGAGAAAGAGAGGGAATAAAAAAAGAGAAAGAAAGTCTGACAGAGTAGTTATTTATGAAACAGACAGAAAGAAATGGAGAAAAAAGAAAGAATGTAAAATGGAGAAGGAGATGGCTAGAGATAGAAAAATTGAGAGAAGATAGATAATTAGTGACAATTAATTAAGGTTTTTAGTTGAGATGAAAAAAAGTCAATGGCACGAGAGGGATTCGAACCCACGACCTTCGGCTAGATACGCCGCTGCTCTACCACCTGAGCTATCGTGACCTCGATCCTCTCGGACATCAACTCCCCATCTCAACCCCACCTTATTAGTTTTCCCTCCTTTTGCCATTTTCCAAATGTCGTGTATCGTCGTGTTAATATTGGAAAAAGAATGTAGTTTCAACTGCAGAGATCATAATATCAACCCTCAGAGTGTACGTGTATTTTAAATAAAGCCCAATTGTAAGTAGTTGGATTCGAACTAGGGACCCTTCGATGATGTGTCGCCCTTTATTTGGTAATAGGAAATTTGTCTTTTTATGGTGAACATAACACTTTTTGCAATAGTACAATAGGGACTTGGTAAATTCCTGATTCAATCGTTTATAACAAGCTTTGGTTAAAAGAAAACTCACAATGAAGAAAATAACAGGAAATCGTCTAAATTATTAACTTGCAATTTTTTACCGTATTTGAACAAACATGCCATGGCGTTAATCAAAAAGCATGAGTAGTTGCTTTTCTGTTTACAAAGATAACATTTATTATATAACAACTCAGTATATTTTGTAAACTGAATTTCATTCTGCTACCATCCAAAGGGACTGTATAACATATTAAATGATAAACATACGTGGGTATGTAAGGTATTGGATGAAATAAAAAAGGCAGTGTCACGACCGGGATTCGAACCCAAGACCTTCGGCTAAATACGCCGCTGCTCTACCACTTGAGCTATCGTGACTTCGATCCAATCGGACATTAACCTCCCAACTCAACCCAACCTTTCGAATTTTCCCTCCTTTTTGCCATTTTCAAATATCGTGTAATCTATTTGATTCGACAAATGAAGTGGCCACGGAGAGCTTTAGTGAAGATATACTCATTTTACTTATTAAGTTCATTAGATTTCGTGGTCCGATTGACCAGATAATATCTTTCAATTAATTAATATTGTCTCAACCAATACCTTACAAAAAGATTAATAAATTGAAAGATGTTATTTGGTCAATCGGACCACGAAATCTAATGAATACGTGGGTATGTTCATTTAACGTTCATGTTATTAAGGAAACATTAAAAAGTCAGAAATTGTCTTTATTAGCCATCCGTTATTAGCCAGTTTACCCGAGGTCAATAATAGAAGCATCTAATTTGGCGAATTCCATGGGTAAAATTATAAAACTATCATACCTGTATTAGAACTTCGCTTCCGTTTGATTTTCATTGTTGTCTAGAAAGTTTGGCAATCATCCCATTAATAGACAATTGTTATGGTAATATTTTGCACGATGAGAATCCGGCTCGAAATTTATACACGAAATGGAAAATATTTAAAAAATCGAAAGGATTATGTGAGAAGACTTACAGTCTGTATTTTTGTTAATAAAAAATGTTAACTAGTAACTTAGTTCATTATTTTCAATTAATTAATCTTTAAGTAAGGTATTGGTTGAGATAAAAAAAGTCAGTGTCAAGTGCGGGATTCGAACCTTCGGCTAAATACGCCGCTGCTCTACTACTCCAGCTATCGTAACTTCGATCCACTCGGACACTAACTTCCCATCTCAACCCACCTTTTTGCATTTTCCCTCCTTTTCGTCATTTTTCAATGCCTTATTTTTTATCTCAACCAATATTTAAAGATTAATTATTTGTAAAGAATTTATTTGGTCAATCAGACCACGAACTATAATGGATTTAATAAGCAAAATGAAGTATACTTCACTAAATTTTATTTGTCGCCGAGAATCAAATAGATTACACGACATTTGAAAGTTGGTGTCCGAGTGGATCTAAGTCACGATAGCTCAAGTGATAGGGCAGCGGCGTATTTAGTCAAAGGTCGTGAGTTCGAATCCCGCTCGTGACACTGACTTTTTTTATCTCAACCAATACCATATTTAATGATTAATTGATTGAAATTAATTTTTTTGTCAATCGGACCACTAAACCTAATATTGTTTTTTTATTTTTTTTTTAAACGAGGGTTCCCAACAGCAGAGGTTATATCAACCCTCAGGGTGCCGTTGTTTTCGAAAAAAGCCCATTGGTAAGTACGTCGGGTTCGAATGCAGGGCTGCTGGATTCGAACCCGGGACCTTTACCTTACAATGATGAGCGCCGTGTCAACGCTTAAACCGTTGCGGCCACCGACGCCCACTAAACCTAATAGATTTAGTCCATTATGTTTTAGCATATCTACTGATTACAGAGCTTTATAGGTTGTTTCAATCTTTCGCAACGCCCGTAGCTAATAAAATGTTAATCCTGTAAATTTGATTACACCAATGGAATAGTATTGAAAATAATATGACATTCATTTTTTTTATTGTAGCTTTAAACATACAAAATCCGCTGCAATATAAACTTTTTAGCATCTTCGGAAGTTCTTGTCTAAAGTTTAAGATGATTTTCTTGATTCTGTAAATACAGATAGATATATGCACTTACAGAAAACATTGCCTCTAACATTTGCCTATAACTTCATTTTCATAATTTCTAAAAGGTCAAGAATTACCATTGTAAAATTAATGTTTAATTGCAAAAATTTTGATTTATTTTTATTGTTTTAATTTATTAATGTTTGATACATAGTACAGAATAAACAATTGGTACAAATTTCTTAGTACCAAAGAAACTATGCACATTTATATAACAAAAGTCTTGAGGTAGATCCTGTTAAGGATTGCCAGCATTACAATGAAAAAAAAAAAAAAAGGTTGAGGGTAAAACTAGTGAATAACATAACTAAACGAGGAGAGAAAAAGCATAGTGAAAATTTAAGAATGGATAAAACAAACATAAAAACTAAAAAATTTCCTTTTTTTGTAAGTAATAATTTTTGTTGCTATTTTTAGTCATATGCTCAAAAAGCCGACCCTTGACATTTTTAATAATTGTTTTGGGACTGACTTAACATTGATCTAAGTAGAGACCAAATGGGACCACATAGGTCCTACATACAGAAAACAATTTAACATGTTTTTTTTGGCTCGAGCAACATGCTATTTATATAACATCTCTATCATGTTTCATTTTTTTATTTCATTTTTCATTTTTTTAATGTTTAATACTTAGTACAGAAAAGAGATAAACAATTTGTACAAATCTCCTAGTACAAAAGAGACTATGCACATTTACATTAAAAAAAGGTGAGGCCTTTTTAAATTTGCCTTTTTAAATGTACGCACTAATTGTTACTATTTTTAGCCATATACTCAAATAGCCGACCCTTGACATTTTTAAAAATTGATTTGGGACTGTCTTAACATTGATCTAGGTAGGGACCAAATGGGACCATACATACAGAAAACAACTCAATTTGTTCATTTTGGCTCGAACAACATGCTATTTATAGGAATCTTATATCGTATTTCATTTTTTTATATTTGTGAATATAATTTCTACCTCTATTAAAAAACTCCCTAAAGGTTCGGAAAAGGCAAAAGTATAGTACAGGTAAAATGTGTTATTTGAGGAAGAGTGGCAGGGAGTATTCTAATTTCTATTTAAAAAACATTGCAACAATCATTTTTTTTTTGTATGAGTTTTATTGTTTTTTTTTTTTACATTTTCATATGCACTCCCCCAGCAAACGAACACAT